GGTATCTCACCGTTTCAGGTCCCGGTCATCCCCTGCATTTTTTTCGTCCTGTCATAGTAACCTACCCTACCTTCGGACATTATGACATATGCCCTAAAAAAAACTCAACCTCAAACTTTTTCACGCAGTGATTTTACATTTTTGCTATAAAGGCTGACTAACTTCAGAGGAAACAGGATGAGGGAACATCAAGTGAGGCACATTCATTCTGTTTGGCCGAACGAACAAAAAGTCAGCCTAATTTGGGGGATGATGGTGCAGTTGTATTAGGAAATAATCGCAGCGAAAGACCCCTATCCTTACTGACCCATCATTCCATTGAATATATTGACTCATTGCCCTTTGACCGAATTTGGGAAATAAATATTTGAGGTCCACTAAACATGCTGGTGCCATGAAGGGCCTCACCAGAACAACGAAGACTAAACCAAAAGGGCGTAAGAAAACTTGACTCGAGTACAGTGCGAATGCACGGGAAGGTAGAGCGCAGTTAGCAGACGCAATGGCTTGGGTAAAGCGTTTCACATCCCTTCTCCACATGTCCACATAGAACGTTACCATTAGATCAACGCATGAATCTTATACATTCATACCTCAACTCTTTCGGCTTAAACATAAATCACTATGACATATTCATGCAGTATTTTCATGTGATATATATCTTAGAATATTCTCCATTTAGTCCGCTCCACCACAGGTCACTACGTTCCACCAGTAACTGTAAGCGGATGGAGACACAGACCCTCTAATACCGTATTCGCCTACACCAAACAGGAAACTTGATTGCCAACCAAGCTGCACGCCAAACATTCGTGTCGGATCGATACAATGCAGTTTATCCGCATCCCGTCCCTAGCTCAAAATCAGACTCAAGATCCGCATTCCTCCCAGTGGGGGATGCATTCACCATCATTCAGCTAAACACCGAGGGAATGTCCAGGGCGAAGGGCGAGGTCATCGCCAAAACCCTGGGCCCCATAGGAGACGTGATCCTCCTACAGGAGACGAGGGAGACCTCCCCAACAAGCCCCCGACTCAAGATCCCAGGATTTACCCTTTGCGGGTTCAAGGGGGACATACACCATGGCCAAGTGTAAATATGCTGGTGATGCGCGAATGTGTACCCTTCCGTGCCGTTTCTGTTCGCTGTTCTTGTTTATTTTTGTTTGTCACCCCTTTCTCCTCTGTATGTGTGGCCGAGACGTACGAATAATACCACTCGACGAAGTTTAGATACTCCGGAATTCGTTGGCTTTCCATTTCTTCCAACTAATGAAGATACCCCGTCGATACACACCGAAAGTTTCTAAGTTCTGCGATTGAATGAATGCATTTTTTAATAATGGCAATTTCAGCGGCATAAATATTTGTGCGATTCCCATCGTGAGATTCAAACCAGGGAGATGATCGGAGCTAGAAAATTACGACTGGGAATCAATAGCTTGTGCACGTGGAGTTTTGGCAGTTGCTGCAGCTGTCCTTAGGGTCTGTGAGCGATGGAGGATCCGTAGAATGTCAGATTCAGTGCGAAGTTAAAGGACTAAGAATTCAAATGCTCTATAAAAGTAGTTCGATGCTGGATTGACGAAGCAGGAATACATTTAATATAGAAACTAAAAAGTTATTATCTATTCATTATGGTGCTCTCGGATTAGTGCTGTATATAAAGGGAAGAGAGCATAGAGTCGCAACAGGAACGTGCCATGCATGCAGTGGCGGGTGAAAAATAAGTTGGGAGAATACTATTTTATAAAGTACTGTAATTCGCAAGATCTGTCTTACAGATCAATGAGAGGTATGGATGACTTGTTGAGCTCTTGATGAGAACCTGAAAAACGGCTGTGATGGCGATGATGATCATCATATGGAAAGAGCGCTACCTGCCAGTACTGAAACTGCCAGTAAATGCCATCTGGAGAAGCTGTCGGTAATGGACTATGCCTTTCGAATTTCATAGAGGCCGCTCCATCAGTAAATCGGCCAGCATGTCTGTAAAAGGAGATAAACAGGTCCCTCGTTACCGTTCCCACGTTAGAGGGTGATGGAGAGGAGGCGCGTGAAGAGTGGGCGCGAGGCACTTCAGCTGGTAGGGCAACGAGGAGGGACGACACTCAAGCAAAAGTCTGCGCTCGCGCATCACGCTGCAGCTGGTGCAAAGTTTACAAATCTCAATTCCCACTTTCCCCTCTCCCCATTTCCTTCCTCGCACGCTCAGTCGATCCCGCTACAGAATAGTTGAAAATTTCCCACTTTTTCGGGGCATTTTGAGAACGCCAACGTTAAAAAATAATATTATTGGCGCACTAACTCAATGCCGCAAACATACTCAAAGCACTATCGACGGAAATGGTAACGCGATAAAGTATGACACATGCTAATTGCCAGCAGTTCGGATAGCAACAACTTCCGTAGCCGGCAATGCCTCATACTATCATTGCTGGTAGTGAGCACTTCACCTAGGATGGCATTCAGTACAATGCTACAGATTATCATATTGTGTATTATGTATAGGCCCATGGATTAGAGATGGCCAGGCATCGATTTCACACAACCCGTCAAAACGAAACATATTTTTTTTTCGACGTATTGGGAAATTATCATGAGACTCAGATTTCCTGATGTAACCGTCTTGCACGGTTTCCCATGCCAAAAGCACGCTTCGCCACCCTGTCGGCTTGCATAGAATGCCCTTCATACTAAACCATCCTCCCGAAAATGCGTTTCTGCACAGATTTGCGAGGATCTCTCTGTCCCCCCTCCAGGCAAATACGTCATCAGAGACGAGCTAAGAGGCCTAAGCGGGCTGCGGGCCGGTCATATCAGCACAACACGATCGGAGGTTCGGAGCAGGAAAAGCACGGTCGACGATCGCGTTCCGGGTCGGGTGCGGGCCACGATTCCAATCGTACCGATCAAGTTTCAACTCGGAAAAGTAAACACGTGCAGGCCTCCAACGCGCAGAAAGACAGGAGAACCTGTGAATCGTACTTTTTGGTCTTCTGACCCAATGAGTATCGCCTCTAGGTCATAAGTTTTTTATTGACACCTTAATTATTAAAATCCGTTCATCCGTCTAGGTGGAGTTTCCCAGAATGACAGACTGACAGGTTAGACAGGTTACAAGGTACAAGGTGTTCAAAAAGTTTATTTCCTATTTCAAAAGGCCCTATCTCCATTACGGAGCCGCCTAGGAAATGTATACTCAACGCAGATGATGAACAGCCAATGGGATTTACAATAGCCAAGTTTCCAAATTTTCCCCAAAACAGGTTTCTGGATATCATCAACAGGACAGCGTTGTACCGGAAGAGACACGGGTCCCTCCACACTTTTGGCGACGCGTCCAGTCTCGTCTCCAACGTACGTTCCAGGACCGTGTGATCAGCAGGGTTTTCCCACAGACCTAGCCGCCAAGGTCACAGGACATGGCGCCTGCGGACTTTTGGCCGTGGAGTTTCCCGAGTTCTGGCTGTGGGGTTTACAGTGGCCGTCATGCGAACTTAGTGGAACTCAAGGAATGCATAGCACCGCCATGCTGCGCCAGATTCTGACATTGTCGTCTGACTAATTACGTTCTGTCGTCTACCACTTCATTACATGGATGGAGGCGGTGGTCGTGGTAGGGGGTAGCCATATCGAATACCTCCAGGTTTGGTAGTGCCATCCACGCGGATATTGGCATATGTGGCGACTTCGGACTGTGTGTTTGACCGGTATAGCGCCATCCGGGTGGTGATTTCCCGAAAAATTTTGGAAACTTGGAAACTTGGATTTCATGAATCCCAATGGCTGTACGTCATATGTGCCGAATATGAAGTTTCTAGGCCGCTCCTTAATAGAGAGGGGGCCTTTTGAAATAGGGAAGTACATTTATGGACAACCTGTGTACGGATCCTTTTCATTCCCACTTGGAGGAAAAAGCTGAATCTGCTGTAAGTTGCTGCAATCGACGAAATATGAAACTTGGGTCTAGTAATATCATTAGGGATCAAAGGGAATGGATAGATTCGTTTGAAATTGGACCTGAAGCTGCCAAAATGGTTTTCCATAATTTCTGTTGCTAAAATCATGAATTTCACTCTCGTTCTTGAGAAATGACCATTAACGTGAGTTACGATGCAAAAATGGAGAGATGTTAAGGTATATTATTGAAATTTCTGTAAAATCGACTCGTTGAATCATCGCGCCATTTACGAACGAGAATGGCTTTCAAATACTGGAACATGCTTTTTTAGGTGCAATCTTTATTTGGAGAATGGGCAAGGGAAGAAGCTCATCTACGAAACGCGAATTTTCTAAGATGACACCTTGGCCTCTCAGGGAGGGCAGACATTTGCAAAATTTTCGCTGATCCTTTAATATGTTCTATGAAGAGGAGAATCACGCGGCTTTTCATGTATTTATGATACGATGAGACGTTGTCGAGATGAAGATGTTCACAGAGAAGCAAGCTAATCGTGATTAGTTAAAGATGATCGTGGCAGTTAGACGGTGAGGCGCGAGTTCATATATTCACATCAACACACATGCAAACCAGGATCCCAGACTGGGAATTTCCGTTAGCTAGAGCTGAATTAGAACAATGTGCAACGGTCGGTTTTGAATGTATACAGTAATTCCATTTTCACGGTTTATAAATGCAAGTCCTTCATTTGCAGATCCTACAGAGTTTCATTCTTGGTGATAGTTGTATTGAGATGAAACGAGAAATGAAGCTTTGCTTCGTTCTTCGTTTAAAAGGAAAATCCCCTATTCAGTTCAGCCATTCAACACAGCAATGGGCGAACGGTCTAACCTTTCGCTTTCCCTCTGCGCAGAGAGACATTATGTGGATATTGAATGAGCCGTCCTGGCTGGAGAAGACGAGAATAGGAAATGAGACACAACGTATATGACGTCATTCATGCATCCTTGCCCATCCATTACTTGACTTATCCAGGTAGAATGAGTCACCTCATGAAACCTCTTTCTTTTCCACTCTCACTAGTCGTATGGTGGATGTCTCCCAGAAGAGGCGATAGACGCATCCGGTGGTGCTTGTAGTAACTTTCAAGGTCAGGTATCGTTTTCCAAGTTCCTTATTCCAGTAATAGGACCTACGCCACTGGGTGTTATGTGACTCAGAGAGAGCGAGAGGAATAGCGACATGGTGCCAGTTCGTGAAGGGTGGATGTTTGGGAGTTGGTTCTATGTGCTCGTCAAATTCAACTCCCTTTTCCTTGACATCGAGTATCCCTTTCTCCTATCCCGTGAGTGAATTTCTATTACACATTTAATTCCTTCCTCCTGGAAGCCATGCCGACAACCTACGGGCACATGCAATAATATTAAATGCAAATATATGCGAACAAGCAAATAAACAATGCATGGCAATAATTTTGACTATAATATGACAATTATATAACCTTTTATTAAGCGTCGCATAACAGTTTCCAGCTCTTCATCAGTGCTTCAGTAACTTCCACGAGCTTCCATTTCTCGAGGTAACAAATAGATTATTGTCTATTGAGACAAATGGGAGAGGAATAACTTTTATTTTGCAGTTCTTGCCATTACGAATCCGCAATTTCAGAGGATACTGCCATGTTTAAGCGAAATTCAGGGCCCGACTTTTGGTTCGACTCTTTTCTTGCATATTTTAAGTCTTACAAAGTACCCATAATTCGCTTTGGTGATGACTAGCAGGAAACAGTGGTTTTAATTTTCTCCCTGACGGAAAGGCATTGAACTTCTTCACAGTCAGAGCAACTCTTCGCTATGTCCGAAGAATACCGCAAAGATTAAGGATCGGATGGATACGCGTCACCGGAAACCCTACGTCCAAGTCTTGATGGCCGCAATCGTAATGGGCCAATGAGGCTTCATTGTCAGTCTGGAGACTGACAATTTCGGGGTTCACTGAGCACGAACATGATTAATGACCGAATGTTCAGAAATATTGCTGTTTTATCCAGTAAAAGCCTCTAGAGTCATTGCAACAGCGCGACGTTCGATCATTCTGTCCTATTCTGTGTAGAATACGAAGAGATGTTATTTATTGGGGTCTGCCATGCGATTTCCAGGTTTTCATTGTATCATTTCCTGAGGTCAAGAAACGAATCGTCATTCGCTAATTACTGATGGGCATTTTAATGTTTTCGGAGGCGTTTAAAATCTGCGATTATGAGAAGCAATTGGTAAAGAAAGATGAAGTTAGTTTTAAAGTTTCTGCAGAGGATGGAATATCGGGTTTCTGCCAGATTGATGTATTGTAACTGGTCAACTTTAGTTTGCTAAAGCCCTCGATTCTGAAATTCAGAAAGCTACTCTTTGGAGCATACAGGGTTAGGTTTGGAGGCATGTGAGAAGACGGGAAAAATGGTACTGGAGAGGTGACTGAAAATATTGAAGATTTGGATTTATTTATTTTTTTAAACTTCGTATGTGAAGGGCCGACAGTGCTTGGAAGATGAAAAAAAAAAGAAAATTACGAAACTCATAGGCCCTCCAAGGCCAAGGATGTACAATTTTCTTCGATTGTTCATCCCATTGAATGAGAGACAATGGGCGCGTGTCCTACGCGCCCATTTGTGTAATGTGTAATTCCTTACAAGGCCTCGATCTACGTTTTCCTTTGTGCTTTTCCACAGAACAGTCACTTTCATTATGCCCTTCTGCGGGATTGATGCCCATTCTTGCGCTTTCCAAAGATGACTCACTCTTACGCATCCAACGAACAAGACGATGAGGATTCCTCTCTGGGAGCAGATTAAACACTTTCGAGACAGACATGGAACGAAAGAATTTCTGCGAAAAAGCCGTGGGATCCCGCCGCTTTCACCCTCGGGAGTCACTCTCCTTGTGAGAGTGTCGATCTAATATGATCACGGGATTCCGATTGATAAAGGGGTCGGGATCCCGATATATAAATGGAAAGAGGAAGAGGAAAGAGGAAGAGGCGAGGAAGTCATCCTGCCTCCAAGGATGAAAGGGGACTCTCAAGTGTAATACGCGGGACGTTTCACACTTCCCTGCGGAAAAGTCCGTATCGTATGAGTGAACACCCCCTATGTAGGGAGGGGAACAGGGTGGGGGGGGGGGGGCGAGCGTGTGCGTGTGCGTGTGCGTAGAATGCTTCTCTCTCATGCCATAGTGTTAGGGGGGGAGAGATATTTGTTCGGTGGTGTAGTGGTTGCACATTTGACTGGCAATTAGAAGGCCACGGTTTCGATTCTCACCCTCTCTATCATTTTCTTTCGTCCTTTCATGCCTTTCATATGCCCACCCTTCTGTCTATTACGTTCTCAAGACAGTCGCAACGGCTGAAAAAAAGTGCAAGCCCCAGAGAGGGAAACTTACACCCTGAGGCCAGCAGAAGGAGCCGCACATGCGCACATTGATTTGCAGACATACAGACGCCCAAGTAAATAATATGCTATCAGAGGTACCCGGCGTTGCACGGGTAAATATTGTATAGGACCCATATTTGCCAGCAGGGAGGGGAGGGGAGGGGGGTCTTGGTCATGGCCTTCATGGACCCTTCCCTGCCGGGTTCGAATTTTGAAACGCCACCTAGCTTATAACCATCGTCGGACCAAAGGATTAAGCCATGCAGAGTTTGGTCGGGCTTGGATTTGAGGCATGGCTGTGCATGAGAGACAAACCGAGAGACAGAAACTTTCAGAAATCTATATACGAGCCGCTTGGGCCTCCATGTGCATGCAAGTGCATGTGCGCATGTGCGGAGCCTTCACTCCTGCCTTCGGGTGCTTGCCTAGCTCTCTTGAGCTCGCATCTTCCCTCCAGCCATTGCGGCTGTCGAATCTATTCTCGAGAACGTAATAGCCGGGGGGGGGGGGAGATTTCAGATGGTATGACGAAAGAAAAACAATATTGCGGCCTGGAATTGATCCCAGGGCCTCCTAATAGACAGACATGACTTTTCCTCTACACCACCACCAAACCAAACGCTCTTATTGTTTCCTTTCCATGTTATTCATAGCATTACAAAGGGAGAGATGCATTCTACGCATACAGACCGGAGGATCCGATACGGACTTCTCAGCAGGGACGTGTAAAACGTCCCTGCGTAATGCACTTGTAGCCTCCATTCATCCCCAATGGAAGGATGACTTCCTCGCCGGAATGAGATCTCATCATCATATATATCATCATCAGATCGTAGATTTATCGGGATTTCGACCCCTTTATCAAACAGTACCCCGTCCTTTTATTGATCTCACAAGGAGGGTGATTCCCGAGGGTGAAAACGACGGGATCCGATCTGTATGGAACAGGAACTCTTGGCTCTGAAAGACGCTGTCGGCCGCGAAGTAAGCATCCCTTTTCTCTTGCGTATATTTCACTCATAGTCCATCATTGGAGATGGACTTCACCGACGCTCCGAACATCTTCCAGATCGATACGGGATGAGAGTGCCGCTCGATAAAAGTCCGTATCGTAGGCGTGTATAGGGTTGCTATAACTAAGGGATGTTCACACCTCGATGTGAGCTTTCATGCAGGAAAACTCCCGCACAATACTTCGAGTCCCGTTTTCTTCCGTGCGAAGGAGAGTGAAAGAGGATGAAATCGGCGGGATCCCATCACGGTGGGACAGAACAGGATGGCTTATTCTTGGATCGCAAGGATGCCGTCGGTCGGGTTATTATCATCCCGTATCCATATCCGTATATTTCACTCATAGGCTGCACGCAAAGTGATGGAGATGGTCTTTACGGACGAAGCGGACAGAGTCGTAATCAATAGGGAAAAGTGCCGATAAATGTAAGCGCGAAGATCTCACACCGGCGAAGAAGTCTTCTTCCCTTCAGCGGGATAAAAGGGGACTACAAGAGTTGTACGTGGGGACACGTAAATAACGGGAAAGGAAAATATTTCTATCTCACATAATCCTACGAACATATATTTAAAGAAGAACAACAGGACACCTAGGCTGCGCGATATGAAAAGCGAAAGCCGAAGAAAACGACGGCTGATTTCATTATTCACATTGAAATAGCGCATTGCTAACAGCAGAAAAGAGACGTACCTCACTCTGTAGGTAAATATCCTTCTTTTGGTAAAACTCTCCTCCAAAAAAATCCCCAGGCTATCTTCTAATTATTCCCAGTGGGGATGAAGTAGAAAAAAAATACAAAAATTAAATTCACGTCCTCAAAAGAAAGATCCTGATTTCATAGTAATCCTGGGAAGTCAGAAGCTTCAAATTTGAAGCGATGATATTGTAATATATGTATCACCAATAGAGGAAAATGTATGTTGCCATATCATAGCAAGTGTTTCCCCATTTTCTTATTCTTGTCCAGGTTGGAACTTGAACGATTCTGATGCTTCCGATCGCCATTCTGTTCCCGTAAGTCAGTTTACAATAGCCCTGTCCCTCGTGTATGGGCACCTGGACCATAAGTCTGTTCATTCATATTGTTGGGCCACGTAATAGGCGGACCTGTTACCATACTTGGAGTTGGGGGAGATGACATTGAAGGAACTAAGGAGACTTTTGAACCTACCTGGATGGACTTTGGTGGACACCGCCCCGCATAATACATCCATCAAGCGCATCAATGTCTCCGAATACTCCCATACTCTTTTCCTCGTCCAGGTACACGAAGTCTGTAAGCTCCAAGGAGTTGTGGATGTGGTTCTCATTCATACAGCAGTCAGGGAAATTCCCGGTTGCCACTGATTGAGATGCAAGACGGATAGTTAGCAGGTAAAACAATAGTCTCACTTTTACAAAAACGTGAAATTTAAATATGCTATACATAACATGCAATATATAATATTATACATGACTAATGACGAATGAATGAATTTTTATAAAACTCAATGTCAAATTTTCTCATCCTGATTAGATTTTCCTCTAATTCTTGCATGCTAAGATTTTAAAGTGCAAGTGGACACGTCTTGATTACATTGACATACCTGTATTTATCAAATAATTTTTTTAAATGTAACGCTACAACTTTCGAGAATATGAATAAGAATGCGACTGTCAACCCCTAATATTACACGCTAAGCATTATTCAATGGCTTCACGCGATGATAGTAAGCCAAGCCCGTAATCCCAAAATATATTGGGATGTTTTAAAAACATTTCTAATCCTGAGGTACTTCCAATTGCAATAGACCATTATTGCTCTTCTCATGAGAATACAGATGTTTTCCATGGTGACTGACGAAATGTCATCTCATTTGTCGATTGAGGGCTTCTATGATATTTTTCATTATTCTTGTGAGGTTTCTGCTAAAGGGGTATTAAAACTGAGAAAAATGCTGAGATGAGTTTTCTAACCCCTAATTAGTCGACGTCCAAGAAGATCTTTCAGTGGCTGAGAGGCCAGTATCCTACTGACCCTGTTCTGAAATATCTATTTCGAGATCGACTCCTTAGGGCAGGGGTCGGGAATCTTTTTCGCTATGTGAACCATACTAAGATTAAACTAAGTGCTTGCGAGCGAATAATTTTTAGAACAATGTAATTTTTTGAAGTTGTAAACAGACATATGCATTCTTTCATACATAAAAAAATGAGGAACATCCATGATTTTCAGCCGTGACTCAATGAGCGAAACTTTTCGGTTTTTGAGCCATAGGTTCCCTACTCCTGCCTAAGCGTTTAGAGAATTCAATTCATACTACCCTGAATCAGTACCATATTGAAAAGAATCATGGAAGCCGTCTTCAATGAACAATAGAGCCGACATTTTGCAAGTCCCCTTCAAAGGCATCTCTCTTCCTATGAAAAGTGCAAGAAAGATACATTGCAACTGCACGCGCCAGAGACTTAAAAATGGTTGATCACCTTAGTGCATTTTATTGTATTTTTAAAATTTTCCTAGTTGCTCTTACCTCTTCAGAGCAAATTAAAGCTTCTCTTCATATACAGAGTGGGCACCATGTATGTTCAGATGCCCATTCGCCAGGAAGACGTAAGTGCACCGTGAGCTGACTCAACCATTACCCTGGACTAGCCGACCCGCGGAAGACTTCCACGTACTCTTCGGCAAGAAATCACGAGTTCATTCGGCGGCCCTAAATCTCATTGGCCCTCTCATCGCTATGGGCAGCAGTCCGTCATTCCTATTTATTACGTGTCCCCATGTACAACTCTTGTAGTCAGCTCTCATCCCACAGAAGGGAAAATGACTTCCTCGCTGGGGCCTCTTGGCCCTTACATTTATCGGCACTTTCCCCTATCGATTACAACCCCGTCCGCTTCGTCCGTAAAGACCATCTCCATTACTTTGCGTACAAGCCTATGAGTGAAATATTCAGATATGGATATGGGATGGTGATGACCCCAACCGATCCAAGAATAAGCCATCTTTCACTCTCCTTCGCACGGAGGAAAATGGGACTCGAAGCATTACGCGTGGGTTTTCCTGCATGAAAGCTCACATCGAGGTGTGAACATCCCTTAGTTATTGGGGGGTGGGGGTGCACAAGTCGTAGAATGACACTCTCTCCTATTCTCAGAAACGAATTCGACTGTTGCAACGGCCGGAGAGAAAGTACGAGCGTGAGACGGCCACTCCAATCCGTGGATGTCTTCCATGAACTGTTTCTCGGGAATTCCCGAGATCAGTCAGCAGCCCCAAAACTCAGCGGCCCTCTCAACGATATGAAGCAGCATCACCTCCATTCCTTTCTCGAGAGTGAGAGGCTAAGCGTGTCGCATATTCCGATATTCGCTAATTCAGTCAGCGGCTCCATTAACACTCTGCGCAGCAACCGCTGACATTGTACGTCTTGCGCACCCCCCTCCCTCTCATTCACGGGGATCTTCACGCCTACGATACCGACTTTTATTGAGCGACACTCTTATTCCGTATCGATCTTGACGATGTGGGTATCGTTGGTGAAATCCATCTCCAATGATGGACTATGAGTGGAATATACGCTTTGGAAACGGGGTGCTTACTACGCGGCCGACGGCATCTTTCCGATCCAAGTGTTCCTGTTCCGCACAGGTGGGATCCCGCCGTTTTCACCCTCGAGAATCACTCTCCTTGTGAGGATGCCGATTAATAAAAGGACGAGGTACTGTTTCAAAAAGGGGTCGAGCTCCCGATAAATCTAGGATATGATGCTTAATTATATGATGACGTCTCATCCCGGAGAGGAAGTCATCCTTCCATGTGGGATGAAAGGGGACCACAAGTGTATTACACGGTGACGTTTTACACGTCCCCGCTGAGAAGTCCGTATCGGATCCTCGGGTCTGTATCGGGAACGTAGAATGCATCTCTCCCTTTGTAATGCTATGGATAACATGGAAAGAAAAGAATAGTAGATTTTGGTTTGGTGGTGTAGAAGAAGAATCCGTGCTCTGCCAAGTAGGAGGCCCTGGGATCAATTCCAGGCCGCAATATTGTTTTTTCTTTCGTCATGCCATCTGAAATCCCCCCCCCCCCGAGGCTATTACGTTCTCGGTAAATAGATCCGGCGGTGTGAGATGGATAGAGCGAGACAGACACTCGTAGTCGGGCAGAAGAAGCCCCGCACATGTCACTGCGGACCTACAGACGCCCAAGCATAATATACTGTATATATATATATACACATAGTTCTGCCATAAATACTGTTACAAGACTTGTATGTTCCTTTGCTTTCTATCAAAAGAAGCTAGAATATCGTAACCTAGTAATCCTGCAGTGTATTATCCACCGTATTGTTTGGTAGCATTTTGGTTGTTGTGTTCCGTGCAGTAAACATGGAGTGGGTGACAAAGAGAATCGCGTAGCGGTGATTGCCCTGCACAAAGTGGGTCAGAAACCTGCAACCATTTTCAAAACTTTGCAGCCACTTGGAATCCGTCGGCAGTTTGTTTACCGAGCTATTGAACGTTACATTGATACTCAGGGAGTACGAGACCGCCCTAGATCTGGACGCCCATGCACTGCCAGAACACCACGAGACATCAAAGCAGTTTGCAACAGGATTCTGCGAAATCCTCTCCGCAAGCAGAAAGTGATGGCCAGGGAAATGGCCATCTCGATTAGAAGCATGTCTCGGTTGATTAAATCCGACCTAAGGATGGGGGCTTACCGAAGAAGCACAGGACACATGCTGACTCCATCTCTGAAAGAAATCAGGAGGGCGCGATCGAAAGTGTTGCTGCAGATGTACGCGCAAAACAGACACCACAAAATCCTCTTAACCGATGCAAAAATCTTCCCAATTGAAGGAAATTTCAACCAGCAAAATGACCACATGTATACCCACAACTCTTGGGACGCTGCAGAAGTCATCCATAAGGTGGAGAGTGGTCACCATCCTGCTTCCGCCATGGTATGGTGGGGAGTGAGCCATGAGGGTGTAACGAAGCTGCATTTTTGCGAGCAAGGAGTGAAGGCATCGGCCAAGGTGTACCAGGAAGACGTCTTAGAGAAGATAGTAAAGCCTCTCAGCCAAGCAATGTTCAATGGAGGCAACTGGATCTTTCAGCAAGACTCTGCATCTGCTCAAAAGGCTAAGATAACGCAGGAGTGGCTAATCAACAATGTCCCCGAGTTCATCAAGGCCTCAGATTGGCCATCTGGGAGCCCCAAGTTGAACCCATGGATTAAAAATTGTGGGCAGAGTTGGAGCAGATGGCCTGCCACAGAAGACATCCAAATATTGAAAGTCTTAAGCGACCCTTTGCAAAATCAGCAGCCCATATCTCAATGGACTTGGTGCGTACTGTGATTGGTGAGTGGTCTGATCGTTTAAAGTCATGTGTGAAGGCCAGGGGTGGACATTTTGAATAATGTTTCTGTATTCTGTTGGTAATTATGTAGGGAAATAAATGCCGTTCGCGAATACAGCGTATGTTTTATATTTACATAATTCTTACAAAAACACCTTGTAACGATATTTATGGCAGGTATAGGTTCTTCCTTTTGTCTGTGCATTGTAATGTTTGTAATTGGGAGAGGGATGGTTTTATTAAAGTTATGGTGCATAATTGTGATACTGAAGAATAGATTAGACTTCGTTCCCAGTTTCCTTATTGAGGAAATTCCCAATATGAATTCCCATTATGAATAAGTTTTCACACTCCATTGTCCTGTTGGTGATGGCAAAGGAGGAGGATCAGCAAGGTGAAATTTCTGTCGGTGATATGCAGGGTGAGTCAAATGTCAATGGACGACTTTGAACAGTTATAACTCAGCTAGGAAGGCACTAATTTGCAAAGAGTTTTTGCACATGAAAGAACATGCGCTAATTGACGAAAACAGCATGAAAATTGGCATGCAATAACAGTAAGAAATGTATTGAGCCTACAAAAATTGAAAATCAACATGTTCCATCATACAATTAATGTTTAGGGTTCAACGAACGTCATACTCGCAATTATTTTCATGTCATTTTTGTTTCTCATATGGGTTTTCTGACAATGCCGATGATCTTTCTTTGGAGGAACGTGTCGCCTCCGTTAACTTATTTTCTTCATGTGAAGGAAATCTTTCCGATGTGAAGCGTTGTTTTCCTTTGAAGACAGGTGTATAGATCAGGTCGGGCCTATCGAGTGATCTCCCAGGTCGCCGGACTTGACTCCACTCGACTTCTGGCTGTGGGGTTTTATTTCAAAACCAAGTATATGCCGAAAATTCGCGCACGATCATGGAATTGAAGCAACGCATCACTAAGAAGATTGTTAGAGTGGCCTTTCGGTGACGGCTCGCGTGATCGAGCTAG